GTTTAACAGCCTTCACAATCAACATCGAGAGTTACAATCTGACGACTCTTGCATATCAAAGAGCTAAAATAAAGATTACAAAATGACGATCTTTACAAAACTTCGATAGAAAGAAACTACAAATCGACGGTCTCTTCAAACCAAGACGTGGAAGTCCTCCCCGCGTACCAGCATCAAGACGCACCGCGTTCATAGCCACGAACGCAGCTCAAACTTACAACAACCGATGAAAGTTTTGATTCGATGGCCTTCATAATTATCAACAGGAGTTACAACTGATGACTCTCACATTCCAAGGAGCCGAGATGAAAATCAAAATATTTGTAACGCTCTAACTAAAGAGACTACAAATTAATGGTCTCTTCAACTCAAAACATAGAGCTCACCTCTACGTTCCAAGAACAAAACGCAGAGCTTATTTTTGCATTCTAAACAACAAAGCGCAGTACTCACCACTGTGTTTCCAGCCTCAAATGTAAAGCCCAACTCCGCATCCTAAGTTCAGGACACAGAGTTCATGTCCAGAATGCAAATTTTGCGTTTGACTCGTTCAAACACGAGCTGAACGGTTTCAAAACCGTTTCCCACGATCTGAGGGGATCACAACTCCACTCAGGAGTGATTTAAGGAGCGGTTACATCCCATTAGCCCCACTTAGGAGCGAATTAAGGAGGTGGTTACACCCCTTAATCCCTTATAAATAACTAAGAAATCAACTTAGTTCGAGGCTGGATCTTTTCGGTAGGATCAGTTGGAAGTTCTTGGCAGCGAAAAGAGGATCTTTCATCCTTCGGTTGGAGCTTTGGAGATCGGCAATAAGATCTTCTTCATCCTTGGCTTATAACCGACTTTCGGTTAAATCAACTCTTTCATAGAGTTTCAAACTCGTTCAGAGTTCTCCACAACGTCAAATCGTGAGGAGAAGACAAAGTTCTAGTGAAGCAAAACGTCGGATCGTCAACGGAGAGCAAACTCGACGCGAGCATTCGAGGGAGGCACTCCATCGCCACCGTGAAGAACCCAGAATTAAACAAAGGGGAGAATCCAGATCATTCTCTTCTCTTTTGTAATCAGGAAATCCAATTGTAATCGAGATTAAAGGAATACAAATCAATTTTCCTTCATTTCATTTACTGCAAATTTTCCCACAAACACCAAGAGCAATAAATTGTCCAAACTTCAATATTTGCGATTTTCATGGGTAATAATCCCTTATTTTTATCCACTATTGCTCATTCAACCCAACTATACTTAATTATGACCACATCAAAATTCTTGATTTTGATGGGTTATAATCCACGATTTTGAAAGTTTTTATTCATCGTCTCAATGACTACTAGTACTAATTTTGCATACTTAAAAATTCACGATGCTCATGTACTACAACCCAGATTTTAGTCAATTTTTCTTTTTTCAGCTTAATCGCAATTATTTATTCACACATCAATGTTTGTGATTTTCATGGGATATAACCTTTGAAGTTTAGAAAATTGGTCGGAAATAAAAAGATGTGCCTTAAAATTCATGATTTAGTGGCTTATAATCCACAGCGTTTGTCAATTTTGTTTTTTACGATTCAATAGAAATTAGTTATGCATACTAAAAAATTCGCTACTTTCATGAGATATGACTCGCGTTTTAATGGCCTATAACCCACAGTTTTCATCAATTTTTGTCAATTACTATTCAATTGCAATTAGTTATGCATACTGAAAATCTGTGATTTTCATGAGCTACAACTCATGTTTTTACTAATTTTCGTTCTTCGACATAATGTCAGATAAGCATGCATACTTCGAAATTCATGAATTTCATGGGCTATTATTCATGATTTTTGTACAATTTTGTTCGTACCTATGCAATAGCAATTAAATGTGGAAACTTCCATAGTTGCAATTTTCATGGAATATGACACCTGATTTTTATCCATTGTCCCTCATTTGACCCAATTACAATTAATTATGAGTACATCAAAATTCTCGATGAAGGGTAATAATCCATGATTTTGGAATTTTTCATAATTTCGTCTTAATAAGTAACTAATTACATGAACTTCGAATTCGCTATTTTCATGGGCTATGACCCACATTTTTGTCAATTTTTCTTTTTTCAGCCTAATCACAATTAAATATGTGTACATCAACATTTGCAATTTTCATGGGCTATAACCCGTGATATATTCATTATCGCTCATGCGACAAAATTGCACTTAATTATGACTACATCAAAATTCTCAATTTTGATGAGTTATAATGCACGCTTTTGCAAATTTTTGTTAGTTTCTTCCATTGGCAACTAATTATATGAACTTCAAAATTCGTAATCTTCATGAGCTAGAACCAAATTTTTGTCAATTTTTTTGGCCTAATGGCAATTAGTTATGTGTACATGAACATTCGCGATTTTCATAGGCTATATAATCCATGTGCATGATTTTTGTGAATTTTCACTCGTTTTGACCTAATAGCAAATATGTTTTATTTTTGTAAAAAACTGTTATTTTCATTGGATACAACCAACAATTTTCAATAGTTTTCGTTCTTTAATTCTATGGCAAATAAATATGTGTGCCTTTAAATAAACGATTTTAATTGCCTATAATCCAAGATTTTTTTTCTTTTTCTTTTTTGTTAATTTCGACCCAATTACAATTAGTTATATGTACTTAAAAATTCACGATTTTCATGAACTATAACCTATGTTTTTTGTACATTTTTGTTCTTTGACATAATGATAAATAAGCATGTGTACTTGCAATTTCATGGTTTTCATGGGCTATTGTCCGTGATGTTTGTCCATTTTTGTTCCTATTGACCCAATAAGAATTACTTGTGTGAACTTTTATACTCGTGATTTTCATGAGTTATAATCCCAAATTTTTATCCATTATCGCTCATTCGACCCAATTATAGTTAAATTATGTGTTCCTTAAAATTCATGATTTTCGTGGTTTATAACCCATGATTTTTATAAAAAAAATTTCAACCCAATAGCAATTAGTTATACGTACTTAAAAATAGATGATTTCATGGGAAACGTTTTTTTGTTAATTTTTGTTCTTTTACATAATGATAAATAAGCATGCATACTTCAAAATTCATGGTTTTCATAGGCTATTTGTCTGATTTTTGTCTATTTTTATTCATATCAACCCGAGAGCAATAAATTGTGCAAACTTCAATGTTCGCGATTATCATGGGTAATAATCCCATATTTTTATCCAATATTGCTCATTTGACCCAATTACACTTAACTATGACTACATCAAAATTATTGGTTTTGATGGGTTATAATCCGCAATTTTGAGAGTTTTTGTTTAATTTGTTTCAATGACAACTAACCATATTCACTTGCTAACTACCCTCATGTTTCATTAATTAAGAATTTAACGAAACAACCTAACAACACATCACGTGTTGGGTATTCAGCTAAATTACAAGATTAGTATATTTTGTTGACCTAAATACTAGCTGCTCTCAATTTTCATGTACTTCCACCTACTACGTTCTAGTCAATTTTTCTATTTTTGACATAATCACAATGATTTATGCACACATCAATGTTCGTAATTTTCATGGGCGATAACCCTTCTAGTTTAGTAAATTTGTGGCAAATAAAAATATGTGCCTTAAAATTCATGATTTAATGGCCTATAACCCATAGTTTTTCTTAATTTTTGTTCCTTACTATTCAATGGGAATTAGTTATGCATACTGAAAAATTCACCATTTTCGTGGACTATAACTCACGTTGTAATAGCCTATAACCTACAGTTTTTGTCAATTACGATTCAATTGCAATTAGTTATGCATATTGAAAAATCTGCAATTTTCATGAGATATAAGTCACGTTTTTACTAATTTCCGTTCTTCGATATTGGTAAATAAGCACGTTTGCTTTGAAATTCATGAATTTCATAGGCCATTATTTTGTACAATTTTGTTTGTACTGACCAAATAACAACTAAATGTGAAAACTTCTATAGGCAGAATTTTCATGGAATATAACACCCGATTTTTATTCATTATCCCTCATTCGATCCAATTACACTTATTTATGACTACTTCAAAATTCTTGATTTTGATGGGTTATAATCCATGATTTTGAAAAAAAATTCATCATTACAACTTCAAAATTCACAATTTTCATAGGATATGACCCACATTTTTGTCAATTTTTCTTTTTCTGGCCAAATCACAATTGTGTACATCAACATTTGCAATTTTCATGGGCTATAACCCATGATATTTATTCATTATTGCTCATTCGACACAATTGCACTTAATTATGACTGCATCAAAGTTCTCAATTTTGATGAGTTATACTGCACGCTTTTGGAAATTTTTGTTCGTCTCGTCTGAATGGCAACTAATTATATGAACTTCAAAATACACGATCTTCATGAGCTATAACCTATGTTTTTTGTACATTTTTGTTCTTTGACATAATTATAAATAAGCATGTGCACTTCCAATTTCATGGTTTTCATGGGCTATTGTCCGTGATGTTTTGTCCATTTTCGCTCATAATGACCCAATAACTAACAGTGCGAACTTTAATAGTCACGATTTCATAGGTACCCCTAATTTTTATCCATTATTGCTCATTCGACCCCATTATAATTAATTATGCGCTCATTAAGATTCACGATTTTCATGGTTTATATGTAAAACCCCGTAAATTTGAAAGTATTATGGAAATAATATTTAAACGAGTTTTATTATGGTTAAAAGTATTTTGGGATGAATAAGCAAGGTTTTAAATATCGGATGTCGGGTTCATGTCGGCTGCTGAAATCCATGTCGGATAGCGAAAATCGAGGATATATCGGGGGACATGGACTAAATATCAGATTTTCATATCGGGTGGTGCGTATATGTATAATATCATGTCCTAAATGTAATCTAAGCATTCTTAAATTCAATATAAGCATACTTTATAAATTTTATAGACTAGACATATAAAAAAGTAAATAATATATGATGTTTAGGATCACTAACCGATTGTAGAAATTTAATTCTCGATTGCATCCTGAAACAATTTGGGTGCTTGACCTACAAAATAAGAAAACATTGTTAGTAAATATAGAATAGTATGTAAAGAATAAAGCAACTAACATATAAGATATAACATATAGAATGAAGATCACAACTCACAAGATGGTACTCAAGGTACGCTCTCCGACAAGTACACTAAGCAAAAAAACAAGCTGCCACCAGGAAGTTTTTCTCGTCTGTATCAATAGAAAAGACTAGGGTTTAAATGTAAACAAGATGTATAAAAGTTTAAAGAATACCAAAAGGGGCATAAATTTACAAGGAAATTTTTGAAAATTCTTTAATTATGCTGCCTTTTTCTGATGTTTGGGTGATTAAAAGAGTATGCACAAACATTAAAAACGCAATTGTTGGAGAATAGGATTTCCTAGCACCATTTTCAACCTTTCCTGCCATTTTGCTTAATTCCTTTTCTATAAAGAAAACAGCCAAAAATTGTTACCATTAGCTATTTTTCTCATAAATGGTGAAAGAAAGTAGAAGCGGAAGGAACCATGACATAAAGATTTTAGATAGCAATTAGTTCTGAAAGGAGAAAAAGAATAATAATTTATCGATAACAAAATATTCAACTAGCATCAGGATAGTCTCCCTATTTGAACTGAATATAAAGTTGTTTTCACTAAATATAGATATTAAGATCCATATTTTCATTCTTATCTGGCTCAAGGTTACTGATAGCGAATAGCATCGCATCGTGATGAGCGACCGCTAAGGCTATTTAGGACTATTGTGGCAAAATAGCGGCAAATAGCGCATAGTCAAATAGCAGTCAAATATAAATATATACAAATATTCTAAATAATAAGAAAAATTATAAAAAATTCTAAAAATCTGCAAATGCATATTTAATGCCTAAGCATGAAATATATGTGTAACTGAAGAGATGAACTTTTAGAAAATGAATAATTGACACAGAAAGCATATATAGCATTTTCATTCACAAGCATTTTCACAAAGCTTGTAAACTTAAAATGAATATTTATGAGTTCGAGTTCAAAATCATAAGTCATAACCTGCTATAAGTTACTACTATAGATAAAATTTTTAAGATCTTGGCCACTCCATTGATCTACCATTGTCCCTGAGTGGAGTGGTCCTAAATCTTGGAGCTGCTGTCGTGCCCCAGGCTTAGTTCAATCTCATTTCAGTTATCCTATATTAGAACCCTAAATTTTTTTTCTCCTATCTAATATCCAAGTTATGTACATTCCAGCCGATAGTGCTAACCTCCAAATAAGCTAGCTAGACTAGATTCATTTGTTTCATGTTATTAATTGATAATATATTATCTTAATCAGGACGACATCCTCATAGTTAATTAAGTTAGAACATCATCTGTTTATGTTGAAACGGAAAAGGGGACAATAAAAGGAAATGAGAACTTTTGGGTGGTCTTGAGTGGAAAAGGAAATGCAGTTCATTTATGTTGCAAGCGTTTAGATAACAAAACAAATTAAGTCCCAGGTGTGTGTAGATAGGACAGGAGCAGATGCTTGCAAAATTAGTAAATTAACTTTTTCTCTGTTGCGAGCCCAAGAGAAATAGCAACAGGAGGAGGCAGAGACGGAGGCGGAGGCGGCTTCAAAGACTAGAGGCGGAGACTGGAGGCGGATACTGGAGTGGAGGGAGAGATGAGAGGGAGGCGAAAGAGATAAGAAGAGGCGGCTAGGGCTTGGGTCAAGATTCAGAGGCAAGAGAGAGAGGTTATTATGCATTCGGGTCGGTTTCAGGTTCGGGTTGGGTTCGGGTAGAAAAATTAACAAAAATAAATAGCCTTGTTTAGCGGTTAAAAGCGCTTTTAAGTGCAAAACAGTGCTATTTACGCACTATCAGCCACTTTTCGAGTGAAAAACGGTTTTCCCCGCCTTGACACCCCACGAGCATGGTAAACGGAGTGGTTCACCACCGCTTCCATGAATAGCGGCTTTTTACAACATTGATCTGGCCAAAGGAACAAACAATGAAACTGCAATTCCTAGATCCTCACATATGGAAGAGTTTTATTTGTTAATAATCACGAAAATGTCGAAAATTATGTTGCTTCTACGAGGCATATACTAATTAGCCACATAAAATGGACTACTTGCTACTAACAGAAAAAAGAAAATCAGCACAGAACATTTTTTTTTAGTAAAATAATGTAACAACTTTAAACCTAGTAGAGAAGAGAGGAAAAAGAAAAAGACCTTACCAGAAGGTCCCCCAAAGTATTAGTCTTCTCCTTCTTCTTTGGTTGGCCTATAAATTTTCTCAGAGTTGAGACCATTTTATAGGAAAACTGTACCAAGATTTAGTATGGCTTTGGCTTTGGCACCACCTTTAATGTTGGATGCTTGAGCCACAAGCCGCAATTGTAACAGAAAACCGGGACATGCTAAGGTGGATGCATCTATGAGGTTACCTTTCTCCTGTATCAGATTAATGAACAAGACTACAACTTCCTGAGCAAACTTAATACAAGATAAATACCCTTTTCTCAAATAATCAGTTCCTCAGTTAAATGCGGTACGCTGCACGAGTCTAGGGCTTCATTTACCCCTTATTTGATTAAAACCTCCAGACGAAGCCTAATTTCTTACAGGTATCTTTTCTCCCTCAATACTCAGTACATTTGAGACTATGCAAAGTCCTTCCTAATATGAGTTCGCATCAGACTCAAAATGGGGCTGTATCTACAATCTATCTGAGACAGGTTTGGTATTCATTCTTTGGTCTGAAGAAGCAATAATACTTTAGGAATTTCTTTTTAACAACTTAAATACACCACAATAGAATACAAGGATAGAAGGGTATCGAATGTATAAAATCTATAGATCCACACTGCTATTACGCACAAGAATTTGATTCCAAACCTCGTTCATTCATCAACTTCCTTATCCTTTCAACTCCAACCCACCTTCCTGAACTCCTGTATATCTTCATCATAATCTCAAAATTATGCTCATTATCAGGCTCCAATTCAAATAACCGCTCAGCTGCAATTTCCCCAATATCAACATTCCCATGCATAGAGCACGTAAATAGCAAAGCCCCCCAAACAGTTGGCCCAGCATTAAATGGCATCCTCTTTGAAATAATCTCATAAGCCTCCTCAATGAGCCCTGCTCTTCCAAGTAAATTCACAATGCACCCATAATGCACCATTTCAGGCTTAATTTTGTATTCTCCCACCATTTTGGAAAATAATCTTCGACCATCCTCAACCATCCTCAAATTTGCACAAGCTGATAACACAGATACAAATGTGACTTTATCCGGTAACTGGCCACACTCTTCCATTTGCTGAAACAAAGCTAAAACCTTTGAATCTTGACAATGAGCTGAAATGATTGCATTCCACGAGACGAGATCCTTTTCTCTTATCCCCTCAAAAATCATCATAGCACGATTTAATTGGTTTCGTTCAGAATAGAAACCTATCAAAGCATTTACAACTGAAAGATTCTGGTCGAGAGCTCTCCTTAAAACCCAACAATGAATTTCTAGCCCAAACTTCTCAATTGACGATAACTTGACCAGAATTGCAGACAAAGCGATCGAATCAGGATCAAGCCCTGTGCTTATCATTCCTCTAAAAGTATCCAATGCTTCAAAAACAAGCCCGTGTCTTATATAGCCAACAAGCATCGAATTCCAAGTAACAGAATCGCGATCTGTAATCCGCTCAAAAATGCGGCAAGCCCTCATTATATCACCACACTTAGCATACATATCAACAAGCGCATTGAGAACAAATACATCATTCCCAAATCCACATCGAACAATGTGACGATGAACACCCTCGCCAATTTGCACCGAGCCAATTCCAGCACACGCCTTCAACACCCGAGGAAAAGTGAACCCGTCGGGCTCGATCCCCTCTTCCTCCATTTGGTAATAAACCGCCATTGCATCCTCAAATAGCCCGCGCTCAACATAACCAGAGATGAGTGAATTCCAAACAAATGCACTAGCTTTGTTTCTGTCGGGCATTTCATCGAACAGTTGGTGGGCATCTTCGATGCGGCCTGCCACAGCGTACAGCCGGAGGAGCTTGGAGGAGAGGCCGGCGTTGGAGCGGAGGAGGGAAGGGGGGATGAGCTGGCGGAGGAGTGCCACGTGGCGGAAGGGGGTGCTGAGTCGGAAGCAGGATTCTAGAAGGGAGGAGAAGATGGAGGGGTCGTCGACGGGGATGCCGTTTTCGATGGAGGAATGGATTTGGTGCAGGATTTGGAGGAGGGCTTGGGGCTTGGAGAGGGAAGAAGGGGGTGGGTATGTGAGGAGAGGGGTCGGGGTTGATTTTGGGTACGGATTTGGTGATGATGATGATGATGATGATGATGATGATGGGTGTTGGGGTTTATGGGTTTTAGTGTTGGGTCTTCTTCTTGATGATTTGAGAGAGAGTGGGGATTTTGGGGTTGATGATGATGATGGGGGAGGAGGGAGATGAAGATGCATGATTGGGATTTTATCCAAAATATTCATGTTTTTTGAATAATGAGCTCCAATCCTTCGGCGGTAGCAGAGACCAAAGAAAAGATTAACTGTTAACTGTGTGGGTGTGTGCGCGTGTTTTTTTTCCCCCTCCCACTTTTCTTTAACTGATTAATTATTATGCATCGAATATTCAATAATTCACCTAGGTTGCGTCTAGCTGAATTGTTAAGTTGTTTATGAGTATTACTCTAAGACCGTATGTTGGAGGAATGCTCCTTGGTCTCTCAGATCCTTGAAACTATTAGTACGTAACACCTAACACCTCTTATTTCATGTTTTCTCCTCAAAATCCGCTCTAGTCCAAAAAAAGGAAAACAAAATGTTGAGGGATATTTTGGTCATTGAGGAGCCAAATTGCAAGACCCCTAGAGATTTTGGGGATTAACATCTCAATAACCCAACAGTATATTCAGGTTAATTGCTAATACATCTTTTTAGCGTAAGAGGTTAATAACTACTTATTAGCTGTAAAATGTTTATTAGTGCATTGATCCTTGATTTCGAGTTGGGGTTATCTTTCTGATATTTGTATATATGTCAAATGGTTGTTACTTGTTGAGACCCTCTATTTTCTTTTAGGCGTTGAGCATGCACTCCAGGTACACAGATGACTGAGATAATTAATTTTGGACATCAAAGAACCTAAGTGCTGATAATAATAGAAAAATTAGTAATGGCTACCGCTAACTTCACAATTTCTGCACAACATGCACGGAATCAAAGCAGCTCACTTTGTGTACTATCACAACTTGGTACCATGAAAAACTCCACCAGCCAATCTGTGAGCTAGGAAACCATCTCAAATTTGCCAACGCAGATGCCTGAATTTAGCATGTTAGTAAGAAAATTCGTGCAGAAAAGATACCAAAATTACCAGAACACAGGAAACGCATCTATATCAAATCGAAACGGGTTACATGATTCAAAGAACACATCCATTTCATACTTAAATGAATCCAAGAACAACCCCAAGGAAAGCCCGGCCTTCCAATAATTAAACACAGTGATCAAACCCCTCATCCCTTTAAGAAATCCGAAAGAAGCTCTATACATTAGAGCACCAATTCCTTCAACAACAACTACAGCCAAACCGGCAGAAAGAATGTCCCAGTCACCAGTTTGCCCTATAACGGTCGCGAATGCAGTTGCGCAATAGAAGCCCAACAGGAAGAAGAGGATTTTTACCGACAAACCCTTTCTTAACTCTTTGATTCTAGATCTTAGCTTGGTTTGGAATGATCGAATAGCTCTAACGAGACGAGTGTCATTGTTTGGGTTGCCTCCTGAAGGATCTGTACTGTTGCTTCCATCGGCCACGCTTCTGAAAGACCATTCTGTCTTTCTGCATGATTAGTACAGCACTTTTGCTTAGTATCTTATGCTGAATATAATCTCAGAAGACGATTACTTCCCAAAACATAAAAGAAAACTGTGCATAGGTGGTTTCAAGGAAGGTGCAGACTGGTATAGAGATATAATGATTTCGGGTTAATTGCAGATACACCCCTATACTATGCAAGGTATATAAATATGGGACAACTCCTCTATTTAACATCTTACCACAGACCTGTAATTGTTCAGGGAACGGAAACTGATATAGAAGAGACAAAGAGGAGGATTAGGTCTCTTGTTGTGACCAAAAATTGTCCTTTGCAAAGATCTCGATCTTGAACATGATGATGAAGGACAGAACATAGTTTCTGCACGAAATGGTATTTTTGACATCTTAGTTGACATTGTTCTATATCCACCTGTGAAAGGAATTTGTGCCGTCAAAAGGAGGTTCAGTAAGAACAAAATTGAAATATGCAGAAATGGATAAAAGTGTTATAGATAAATTCAACATGCCCCATCTATGAACATTTCGGGTACCAGGAGAAACTGGACGCTTAGCAGCACACTATTTCTTAAAAAATGAATAAACAGTTGAACTCCCAAATTTTCACAAGAAGAGTAAATGGAAAACAACAGCTAGCGATACTCGCCAATCTCATCAAATCAAATCCTGATTTCAGAACAATAAATTGATAAACCCTTCCTAGCAAAAGGATATTTTCAGAGAGCCCAAGTAAAATCTGCAACTTTCCCATAACTAATTTTGCAATACAACCATGCATTCTAAAGCTTCTATCCCGAAATCAGGATCTCATTATGAATCCCTTTTCCCCCCAATTATTTATTGAGCACTAGTCCTCTCTAAGACTAACTGATTAATGATCTCATTCTTTCTTTCACTGCCCGAATCAATGCTTATATTGGTCGATAAGCAATCGAAGGCGCATTCAACAAATAGAATCCTTTTTAATCTCACCATTTTGATACAAAAGATTGAACATAGTGATACCAAAGGAGGTTTATCCTTCAGGTGCACACTTTTATGTGCTAGAACTACAAACTCTTTAAATCTCTCAATATAGATTTGTATGAAAATAGAATGCAAGTAATTTTCCAACGTCGTATAGGCAATTCATCAAACATTTGACAGGCAGCTAGTTCTTCAAATTTGAAGACAACCAAGAATTGTTCTCAAGGATATAATCCAAATATAAAACATCAAGAACCAATATAATGATTTCAAATATCATCAATTAATTCAAACAAAATATGAGCGAGGGAGAATCGTGCTTTACCCCCTTCTGCTCAGCTGCGTCATAATCTCCACAAACGAAAAAGGAGAACACTTGAGGTCACCAATCCCAGAAATAATACTGGGAGCCTCTTATTACAATCATGGGATTAAATGGGCCTAGCCATAAACTACCTTGGGCCAATAAGGAAAGCCCAATTCTTATTTCAGAAATGTAGTCATTGTATATATACAAAACTTGGACCATCAGAAGGACTCAACCGTTTAAAGAACACTCTATAAAATTGGGGTCACCTCAAATCCATATCAAATTCAAGAAAGATCATAGAGTATTCGAACTGACATCAAATATGAAGATTTGAGGAACTAATATCAAATTATTAAAGAATCAAGGGACTAATATCCAAAACCCTTCAAAAAAGACTTTATAATTACAATGTTTTTTAATTTATTATCGTCATCTTGTTAATATAACTAATTAAAGAATCAAGGGACTAATATCCAAAACCCTTCAAAAAAGACTTTATAATTACAATGTTTTTTAATTTATTATCGTCATCTTGTTAATATAACTAATTAAAGAATCAAGGGACTAATATCCAAAACCCTTCAAAAAAGACTTTATAATTACAATGTTTTTTAATTTATTATCGTCATCTTGTTAATATAACTAA